TCAGATCAGGTGAAAATCGTGCCACGTTGACATTTATTGAGTATATTGGCGTGTAACTATAAAATCTAAAATAATATTTGATCGTTTCCCATGCACTCAACGAAAAATAATAATAAATTCAAAAAAAATATAGATTGATTTAATAAAATATTTATTAATAATGACCCCATAAAGTATTTATTAATTTAATAAAATAATATTGGTGGATATGGAATTGATAATTATTTGATAAACATTTTATCACAATAATCAAGATTTTTATTACAATAACAAAAAATGTTTTATAAAAATAATAAATATTGTATACAATCAACATTTATTTTATCATTTCTTAACAAACCAGTAATCGATTAATAAAAACTTTTTATCATCTTAATAAAATTATTGTTGTATTGAATAATGGTATTTGTCATAATAACAAATATCGTTTTAATATTAATAGTGATTTTATTCTATACAATAAAATAATTTATTGATTTAAATATAATAATCTGTTACCCATAAAAAATTATTATCAGTCTTATAACTATAATGAATATTATTCATAATTTTCTAAAAAAATAATATATATATATAATAATATATACTCGTGTTTTAATGATATAAATAACATTTATTCATATAAAGTACATAATCATACAAAATATATAAATAAATAAAATAATATTATATATTATACTTGTATATAATACATAAATGATTATAAAACATAATTATTTTAATTTTACATTAATATCATATTAACAATACATAATAAAGTTGAAGAAATATGGAATAGAAATGCTATTTAATATTATAAATTATAATACATGTTAATATTCTAATTATTTTTATAATTATTGTGTTAATAGTTTTTTAATATATAAATATATACTTAAATATAAACAGAAGGAATATAATTTTAAATATAAATAAATAAAGTATACCTAGCCTAGGCAATAGAATAAACAAATATAAATAAATTGTAACAACACAAATAACTAATAAATAATGACCAACGCCATTACTTTTTTAATTCATGTATTATTCGGGTAATAATTGGGTGTGATGTATCATATTTTGTAGTTATATTATAAAAAAATTTTTGAATAAACATCCACAAAGCAGAAGATTGTAAAGGGTATTGAAGATTAAATAAATGAATAATTTTAAAACATACATCTATTGCTCTAACTATACAGAAAAACTTATACTTAATAGAGTCAAAAAATAAATATATCTGTTCTGGCTTTAATGGTACACCAATAACAACAATAAATGGTTGAATAGGTAAATTTTTATCTTTTAAATTATTTATGTATACTTCTGATGCGGTTATGGTATTATGAAATGTGATAAAACTATTTTGCGAATCTTTTATTGAGTATTTTGTGATGGTTTTTTTTCCCATTTTCATCTCTAGTCACTTTTCTTGTAGTAGGGACAAATAAGGAACTAAGTAGATGAAATAGTACTGTGTTTTGACCATCTAAAAAAATATTGTATCATTATATAGTAATAAACATTAACAAGTAGTATATCAGAATATTATACATTTATTCCTTTAGGCTATATTATATTAAAATATTTTATTATTACATTGTAGTATTGTAAAATAATTTTTGAATAAATATCTATAAACAGCATAAGATTTATGTAGATAAGTTTAGCTATTAAATAAGCAGATGGGTAAGTATAAGATCTTAAACGCAAACTAATCATTGAACTAATCAAGACGTTAAACTGTATTTACCTATATTTATAATCATAATCTAAAATAAAAATGATAACTTCACATTGATATTCCATGTTGATATAATTAGGTAGGTAATTGGGTATTAGGAATTCGTGTAATTCGTGAATCGTGGGAGGTTGGTAATAGTATATAGGTAGTTCAGTTATTTATATATAATTTATAAATAAGTCATTAACAAAATAACAACATTACTAAAATATAGCTTAATGGTTAGATTATTATTTTTATTATTATTTATGGGTTTATTATTAATATAGTATCACAGTAACAACTACCAATATAATATAGAATTGGTAATTTGAAGTATTTATGGAAAATTCATTGCGGTTGACTAAAATAAATATTGACACCGCTACATCAGGGTGGGACGTGTGGGTACTATAATACCTACTATCGTCACTCGCCAGTTTCAGACTTCTTCGCCTAGTGGCTAGTTCGCCTAGTAATGCTTACTGCTTAGTCGTTGGTTAATGTTAGTGGTGTATTTTGATTTTGTGTTGTTTGTTTAAATTAATATTTTATGGTAAATTTTTTTAAAGTTATCTATGTGTTTTAAATTTTAATATCTATTTAAATGTGTCTTTACAAAATGTTTTGAACTATGGACCGGACTGGCCTTTTTTTATCAAAAATGTTTTGTGCTGTCTCTGACCAGTCTTTATAAAAAATATTCTTGGACCAGACTAGACCGCAAACGGCGTAAACAGATGCCCGTGCAATTAGGTACCTACCTACTTATCTATCTACTTATAATATAACATTTTCTTTATTTTATACCTTATAATTATAATATATACTTAAATTACTTTGTGATATGTTATTCGATTCTTGTTTAATTGATTCAATGAGTAATTTTCCATCATGATCCTTAATATTTAAATCTATTATTTTAAATAAATCTTCCGAATATTTTTCGAATTCAACTATAATATTGCTCTTTGTTGTAAACAGCTCATTAAAATCAATATCCATCTAGATGTAGTAAAAAAATGATATTATAGAACTTATATTTTAACATTAACTAAATTATTTTAACTTTCATATTTTTTAGTTGGATAAAGATAAATGAACTTGTAATTAGTATTTTTTTGTTTTCTACTTACAAGTTTGTACCCTAACGGAATTGTATAATTCTTCCATTCATTTATTATATCAGTAGTTGAATTCGATAAACTTATTCTCTGTAGTCTATACTGTACAGTAGCCTTCCATTGCTCTTGTAATTCGGGAAAAGAACTGTTACCATATTTGATTAAATCCAACATATCATTAATGTCAGTTTCTGGTGCTGGTTTTAGATAAAAATATAATTATTTAATTCATGTTTTTGATTATTTAACAGTTGGGCACATAATTTAGAATTTTTAATAAGCTGATTAAATTGTAAGTACTAACTGAAAGTAATATTTCTTGATGTGATCATTGTATTTAGTTTTGATTTTTTAACACTTTTGTCAAGTAAACCACTTGTTTTTAACGATCGCATACAATTATAATATTTTGCATATAATTTACCTCGTGGTGCATTTGTTGGACCATGACGCATAAAATATGTATCCTAAAATTACATATTAAAAATATATTAACAAGTCATAGTGACTAACCGATAAATGGATATGCATGAAAAATTTCTTAAAATCATAATTCAATTAATACCTATATAATATTATATAAATACAACATTTTAAAAATGATTTTTTCTCAATCAATGTTTTAAATGAATGCATCAAGATCATATATAAAGGCATAAAGCTATCAATAGTAACATATAGGTAACTTAAATATCAAATTTATAGGTACCTTTACTTCTGATGAAAACATACAGACGATTTGATCAGCTATGCTATCAGCTAATTTAATAGTCATCTGCATTTTAGAAGAAATTATGTAATGTATTATCATATCTACTAATTTGCATCTAATTGAGTCATTTAATTTTTTATTAATGTTAAAATAATCAAGCACCAATTTCCCATTGGGAGAATCTTTTACTATATTGAATACTTTAATTATTGATTCAACTGGTAAAGTTTTGGATTGTTGATCTTTTTCAGGTAATATTGTAATTGGATCTGTTTGTATTTGTTGTTGTTGCCATGTAATCAATTCTTTTTCAAATTTTAATTGCACGCCCAAAGTATAATTTTTCAACAATCTTTCAATGTGCATTGGTTTCATATACTTTAACACCTCAATGGTAATTGTTTGATCTATAATATATGTTACTTTTAATTCTATTAACACAAATATTTTTTTTATTTTAAGTGTAGTATATATTTGAAGGGAAAGTGGAAGAATGCTGTAAACTCAACAACATTAGGGTTGAATATGAACGATTTTGGGGTATTTGCCAATTACCTATTAGTATTTTTAATATTTTGATTTGAAAATTAAATGTATTTAAATTTTAAACACCTAAACAATTATATTTTTAATCATTTATTATAAACATACCTAAACATGTTTCAGTCAGAAAGCCTAAATTCCAATTTTCAAATATTGATTTTAGTTGATTTTTTTCTTCATTAGGTATCACCATAAATGAAGATTGAGTATCCCCATCAGAAATATCCTGTAAAATAATTATTCAAGTAAAATATTTTGCTTCAGTTTTGTAAAATAAAACATAAACAATTCAAATTATACATACCAGTTGTATTGGTGATCGGTTTTGTATATTTTCTTCATCAATAACAGGAATTACATTGTCCATAGTAGTCAAATTAAAATTTATATCAATATCTTCAAAATCGCATTCAGAATCAATACTATTTTCTGGCCATATAATTTCTTGAGTGGACATATTGAACTGTATTTTTCTATTTAGTAGGTAAGTATTTAAAAAATTTAATTTAAGTAAATTTTTTTTTATAATCATATATTTGCTGACAAATTGTTGGTATGTTAATTGTAAACAAATTATAATAAAAAGAAACTTGATATTTAAGTTAATTATACAAGTTTGAAATTAAGAATAAACATTTAAAAAAGATTTAATAATAAAAATTAATATTAAGGCTCTTATTAAGGTAATTATACAAGTTTATAGTATACACATTTGTAAAAGTTAACTATATTATAGGTACCTACTGCATAACTATTAAAAAAATTCCTTTAATCGTACAAATGTTTGTCCATTTGATATTTTAATTATATTCAAGGGTGGACCTCTGAATGTATCAATATTGCTTATCGATAGTTCATCATATATTTGTGGCTCATTAGGTATTTCATAAGCTAGATAATGTTCATTTAAATTATTTAATAAATACTTTTTAGCTAATATCATAATTTTATTATTTTTGATTACTAAAAGAACAGCACTTATTTCAAAAATAAAATGTTGATTAGCTCCCTGAATTAAATATAAATTTTCTTTATATGTTGAGCCGCGATAATGTATTTCTTTGTATATTTTATATTGAACTACCTGTAAATTAGTTCTGTTAAATATTATATTTTGTTCTGTTTCATTTATAGTGATCTCATTTTTATCAAAAACAATTAGTTCAGACTTTGGACTTTTCATAAGAAAATAAGAATATTTTAATTGAAATTTTTTAGCTAATGTTAGTGTAATATTTTTTCGAGATGATGTAACTCGTGCATATGTTTTCATCTCCTTATGTTTCCCTTCAAATCGAAAACACCAAAATTGTCTTGGAGGGCCAGATTGTCGTATAACTGTTGGATAATGTACTAGTAAGTGGTGTTTTGGTTTAAGGGTATCATTAAATAATTTAACATAATTATCATTGTTTATTTTTATTAATTGTTGAAGTTGTAAAACTTTATCTTCAGTAAAAGAGTAGCCTAATAGCAAATCAATCAGTTTAAGAAAATTTATAAAGAATATCCATACTTCATCATCTAGGGGTATTAGATCTCCTATCATTAATGAAAAGTAATGAATAAATGTCCACATTTCACGAGCAGACATTTTTAATCGAAATTTTTTTAAGTGTACATCGAGGATTGGTGGTGAACAATTTCCAATTTCTAATGACCCATAATTAAATGTACTTTTTCTATTATTAAGTTCTTTTAAAGTGAATAATTGTATTGTTTCTATATAGTAATTAATTATGTGACAAATATTATAATGACAAACTCCTTCGAATAAATCATGCATTATATCTACACTATAATTTTTAGTTACATGAAAATTATTTATACTATTTAGAATGGATTCTTGATAAATACCAGTTTGTCTGAAATCAGATTGTAATACATCTAATGAATAATTTTCATTGGTACGCATTAAAGTACTATCCTCGGTTGTCATTGATTGGGTAATTGATTTATGAGCCTTACAAAAACGGCAGAAATAGTTAGCTGAAAACGATTTGCTAAATTCCAAAATAGTATTCACACCTAAATTATCACCTAATATTAATCCAAGTCCAAAATAAATTTGAAAAATTCCACTTTTAGTTTTAATTTGTATGCCCTCTTTTTCCAAATAATTAATTTCATCTATAAGATTTTTCAAACATACATCATTTCCAAATTCTTTGAAATCTTTTGATTTTATTATTGACGCTAAGAATATATGTGATAGCAAAGAATTATTTTCATTCAATGGGAAATTGTAGTATATTGCTGATATTGACTGGTAATTAGCATGGGAACCTAATGGGTTGTTAATTTCTAGATCGTCAATATACATAAAAAAAGGAAATGTAAGTTTTTGATTGTTTTGAGATATTTTATTTTTCCATAAATCACATTGAATAAAATTGGAAATAGTGTTGGAATTACTTTGGTTTAAAGCTATAGTTTTTTCATACATATTTTTAAAATTGTCACCGTGTTCAAAAAACTTTCGAAATTGAAATCTCAATGGTAATAACACCCCCTTTGTAATTGCTTCATCATAAGTCACTATACCATCATGTTGGACCACACGAACCTCATTGTTAATAGTTAATTGTTTCAAATTATCTAAATAATCATTTTGCACCAACCACTTATTCAAATTATATTCATTACTGCAGTGAATAAACGGATCTGATAAAAGTTCAGAAAAAGAATGAAATTTACCTTTTATTATTGGTTCTTGAATATTAATTTGAATTATTTCACTAAGCAAAAGGGACATTGGTTTTAGTATTTTTTCTTTTAGTTCACTTTGAATTATAATAATGTCTTTAAAATTAAAATTGTTGTTGTTGTGTAAACCCATTACAAAATCAATAGCTAGTTTATAAATATTATTAATAGATTCATTATAATTAAAATCATTTTCTATTATTTTTTGTTCAGAATTATTTTCTATACCTACAGTGTCCATAGGGTATTCATTATCATTATTACTGGTAGACTGTTTCAATAAGCATTGAGAACTTGATGAGGGATTAGTACTAACAATTTTATTTTGTTTTTCATGCTTATTATTAACATGTCTTTTAAATTTTGCCAATGATGAAAATATATGTGAACAAGAACTTTCACAGCATTCATAAGTACTATAAGGAGTTAATGAATGAAACACTTTAAAATGTACAACAAGAGAGGAGAGATTTTTGACATTAATTTTACAAATAAAACAAATCATTTTCCTTGTAGATAAATGTATATTTAGTAGTATTTTATATTAAACTTGTATATACCTGGTAATAAGTAAAAAAAAAAAAAAAATATTATTGTAGTATAAAATTGGTTTTACCATATATTATTATTATTTTAATTTGTATAGCAATTAAGTTAAAGAAAAATAAGTTTTGTATTTTTAATTTTATGTAATTGAAAACTATTATACTATATATTGGCTGAAAACTAAATAAAATAAAATAAAAATGCATTCTTACAAAATTAAGTCACTATTACCTATGTTTCTAAAAATAAAATAATAAGTTACTTACCTAGTGGCTAGTAAGTTGAAGCGTTGAAATAATGTATATTTAATTTTAATTTTAAAACAAATAATATAATCTATTAACTGAAAAAAACTGTCAAATAACTGAAGAAAAAAACAGCTCGAGCCCTCGAAAATGCGAATTTGCGAGTTGGGAGCGTTGTGAGTTGTGCTTGTGACAAATGTCAGAGACAAAATATTGTTAGTAGGTATTAAACTATTAAGTAATAATTATTGCTAATAATTTTCTTTGTGCTCGCAGTACGATATACTGCTTTTATAAGAAATTTAAAAATACGAAAATGGTATTAGATTCTTTGAAATTCAAATATAAGACTAATGATTAGAGGTATACACACGACTTAATATGTTGCGTATATACAGGTGGATCATCGTGTTTTTTTCTGTACAGCTACTATTCAAAAACTGGAAAACACGATGATCCACTCAGCACTCTGTATAATTACTAAATGTAATCAGTGTCGCGGAAACCAGCCGTTGAAATACGCAAAATTTGGACATTCTAAGATTTTTAATATAAAATATTATGTCAATTTTACAAACAATTTATTCGTTCAATAAACAAATTTATCAAATTACTGAAAACAAAATTATCATTTTAATAAATCAGATTTATAAAATCAACAAAACGTATATTTCTCTATTTATTAATTTAATACAATTTCTATTGACATAATATTTTTTTTCATTACCTTGACAATTTATTTTTTCTTATTAATAAAGACGTTTTATTGAAGATTGATAAATATCATTTATTAAAATTGATGGTTATTTTTCGTTGAGTGTGCTATTCTAAAACTTTGTTCAGTGTTTCGTTATTTTAAATATCACTTGAGTAGAAACCTTCTTTCTGGAGATATAAGTTGGTGTTGTGTAAAAGA